AGCGCTTAATGGGGGGAGCTGGGCCTTTGTCTTAATGAAGGTGCTGTCATGATCGATTTAAGAGATCTGACCCACATGCAGAGAACCACTCAGAGAACCAGGGGAAAAGTTTTACAGATTTATTGAGGAGAATGTACAGGAGTTGAATCTGGAACTCAAAGAACTGGTGAACCTGAAATGGAAAGTCTGGAGAGGAGATCACAATGATCAATTCATGAGCCATAGGAAAAACTGATTGAGTCTTTAGCACAGTGGAAGCGGGACTCACGTTTGAGGGGGTTCTTGTTCTTGAACTCGTTGGAGAGCGGACAGGTAGACATTTGTTGGACCCTGAGCAGCAATGGAGCGGACTGTCACTTGGATTTTCGAAAGGGACTTGAACTGAACGTGTGGAAGTTTTCCCCTGCTCAGTGTGAACTCTGTTAATCCTTCCAGGGGGAGAAGGCCAGGCATCCAGTTGCACAGGAAGGCTTCCAGCCGAAAGGCAAAGACAAAACAAAGTTAGACTCAGAGAAATAAAGGCTCAGATTAGACTCAGCTAAACTCAGCTTGGCTAGAGTACCCAAAACTGGCAAACACTCTGGCGCCGAAGTAGTCCGCCGCTCAAATACTCTTCAGTGATGAACCAAAGAGCCGCAGGTGTGCAGGAAGGCCAACGAGAACAGGGCAGCACCTGGTGGTGGAGGGAGAGAAAAACACACAAACAACCCACACAAACTGGATTCCTAACAGGTGCTGTCTGTCTTTGATTGGTTGAAGTTTGGCGAGGGACATTAGCAGGTGTTCTAGGTCCAATTTGACTGGTAGCTTCTACCTATAACTCCACCTCAGAGAGTAATCTCACTTCAACCTTGATCAGAGTCTTAGATATAAATAGATAATCCTATTGTTCTGTTTTTGTAGGAAATGTGGTGGGCACAGACTGCGATGCTCAGTTTGGAACACGCTGCATTCCCTGTGAGACGGGAACCTTCATGAACGAACCCAACGGCCTGACCAGGTGTTTCTCCTGCTTCTCCTGTGATCCAGGTATAGAAAGTTTACAGAGAAACTAAAAAAACTGGATTTTAACTGCATCTGAAATAATGACAATGAGTGTTATAATCTCCCAGGCTCTGGACTCTCTATCAAGCAGAACTGCACGTCTATATCAGACACAGTCTGTGATGTTATACACGGATATTTCTGTAAAAGCTGGACAGACAGTGCAGGATGCAGCAAAGCAGCAAAACATTCAGCCTGTAAACCTGGACAGAGAATAAAGCTTCCTGGTGAGAATGAATTCATGAAATTACAGCTTTTTAAATGTCGAATAACTGCTGATGTGTTTCTGGGTAAAACGTTGTTGGGGTTTTTTCAGGGACCAGCAGAGATGACACCGTGTGTGAAAACTGCGAAGAAGGAACCTTTTCTCCAGATGGGAGGAACTGCATTCTGTGGACACAGTAAGATAATGACACCTTTCAGGTCTTCCTTTCATTATAACTGAAAGGACTTTGATTGAGGAGTTTGACACTGATCCTCCAATAAGACTCCACGAATAACCTGGGTAGACAGAAACTAACAGAGCAGAAAACCTGAGGAAAAAATGTTGTTAATCATTTAATCCACTAAAGCATGCATTATATTAACGCTTGTCCTTACAAGTTTGAATTTTTAAATCTTTAATCTTTAAAACTTAACCAATGGTTAAACCTTAACCAGTTGATGCAGAAGGCAGGCTGCACTACAAAGCAGGATGTAAAGGCCTCTCCACCCAGAATCATATCAGAGCTGCTATGGCTGCAGTTTCATGTTACGTTCACTGTCCATCCCTGCAGGAGATTTCCCCAAGTCTTTGCCACTATTTGAAACTGTTGAGCACATACCTCTGCAGTGACATCATTCTAGTTTAATTAAGGTTAAAGCAAATCCCGTTCCAGTTCCAGTGAGGTGATGGGCCGTCACACTTTGCTCACTGAGGTTTATTCTTTACTTTAAACAACTTCTCTCCTGCAGTGTGACCAGGCCACAGCATTTTTGCTGCCTGTTTATAGTTGAAAGTGTCTCTTTATCAACAGACTTGAAAGTTGAGTTCAGTGCTTTTAGCGATTTCCAAACCTCTCCATTTATCCCGGGTGGTTGGTTGGCCCGGGTGGTGATGTTGTTTTTGATGCTGATGTCCTCAATGCATTTGTTAATATAGGCTGACACAGTCATAGCATACTCATCAATATTTAATAAGTTGTCATATGTTGTTGCAGCCTTGAAAATGTTCCAGTCAGAGCATTCAACACAGTCTTGGAGTGTTTCCATGGCGCCCTCAGACCTCACTCTGATCTCTTTAACTGTCGGTTTAGCCCTGATCATCTGGGGCTTATATGCAGGGATAAACATGACAGATAGGTGATCCGAGGTGGGGGCGGGGGGCTGCTCTGAATGCACCTTTGATCAGAAACTCAATGTCTGGAGAGCAGAAGCTGATGACTGATCTTGCATTTTTAAACCAGATGTTGTTGATATACACACAGAGCCTACCACCCCGAGTCTTACCACTTAGTTCTTTGTTTCTATTGCCGCGGTACAGCGTTAGCCCCTCCAGGCTAATAGCATTGTCCGGTATTGGTGGATGCAGCCAAGACTCAGTCAGAATGATGGCACAGCAGTTACATATCTCCTTTCTTGAAGACAGTTCCAGTCTGAGATGATCCATTTTGTTTTCCAGCGAGCGGGTATTGGAGAGCAGGATTGATGGAAGTGGAGGTCTGGGAGGATTTCTCTAAAGCTTCACAGTTAGCCCCCCTCTGCAGCCTCGCTTTCTCTGTCTCGCGCATCTCTTTCTTCAGCAGCTACTTTCCACTGTTGTGTTGTTGAGATCCGTCCAGCTTTTTAAACGGTCAAAAATGTCTGGATTTAAAACATTTTGTGACCGTAGCTCCAGCAGGCATTGGCGGTCATAGATGTGGGTTTGACGTCTAGTTTGAATCATTTTAAGAAATTGTCAGGAGGAGCTGTTCTTGGCCGCTGCCTTGGAGCACCCTCATGGTAACCCCGATATTATTCCATGTATACCACCTTATTAACTTTTTTTTACAGCTCTTAGTCCAGTGTTTTTCTGTTTCCTCAGTAGAATTTATTAGTAGTTCTTCGTCTACTTGCTCTGACACTGAGCTCCTCCCATCCTCTGATGGAGTCTGAGGGATCAGCGTAGATCTCCTCAGGCTCCTGATCATGTCTCTGCATCAGGAATCTCAGTCAGACTGTCTTCATAACCATCAGCTGCAGTTGGATAAAGATCATAATAGAATTGGTTTCTATGCAACAGGCTGTTAGCTTCTTTTAGCTCAGACTTCCTTTAAGGCAGAGCATGAATTTGTTAAAAGGCTAAAATGTTTTTTCTCTTTTCTTTTTCAGATGTTCTGAACGCCAAACTAAGGTGCAAGAAGGAAGCTCAACGAGTGACGTTGTCTGCATTAATGGATCAATGCGACATAGATATACTTTGCTTGCGCCTTTTCTTGGCCTAGCAGTTGTAATTTGTTTGCTAATCCCAGGTGTGTGATTATTTGACAGTTTGATTTCTCTTTGAAAACTCATGATACCTTTTTTAACATCTTGACTTATCAAGCACAGTATACATTTGCCCATTGATGCTGTACTAGTTACGAGTTTTTTTAAAGAATTGCATCTTTTTTATTTTTGTTATATTGTGCCTGAACTTTTGATGCCATCCTAGGTTATAAAATACACCGAACATCTTCCATGTTGATGAAGGAATAAAAGGTCCAGGAGGTAAGCCAAGACCAACCACAGCTGTACTCTGGTGTCCATTCAAGAGAACCTGGTGTAGAGAGAATATTTAGACCGTTGAAGGATTTATGGTTTTATTCCCAGAGTCTCCTGAGGACTGAGCTCAACTGGGAACCAGGGATCAAACTAACCCAACAGTGTTCAGACCAAACCAGCCCGGTACCCCCATGGTCATTGTGATCCCTGTCATACTGTGGACCAATATCTACTGGAAAATGAATCTCATTACCATAAACAGGGTTTCTGCGGGTCATTAAAAATCATTAAAAGTCATTGTAAATATTTTTAAATGAAGGCCTTGATTGGCATTAAAATTAATTAAAATGCTTTATTTAAAAAAATTATTATAAAATAAATAATAAAAACTATTTGTATTATATAAGATATAACTGTTTGCTCGGATCTGCTTCCGGTTGATCGTAAAGCCGTATGTCCGGAAAAGAAGCTTGAGGCGGAGAAAAGGCTAGATTATGGGGAAATTTCAAATTTTCAGCAAAAGGGGCTGGAAAACGAGGAATTGGGGACATGCCTGCAGCCTGTTGACGGTAAAGATGACGGAGGATTTTGCCATGTTATTAATTAATATATATGAGAGAGTCATGGGTACTTGTTGATGTCATTAAAATTATTTCTAAAGAGCATTAAAAGAACATTAAAAAGCATTAAATAATAGTTACTCATTCCTGTATAAACCCTGATAAAGGTTTACAGCAGCAGGAAACATGAAGAAATCTAAAATCTCCTCGTAGAAGACTGGTTTACTGTGTACTCCAGAAAATGGAGCAAAACCAGCAAATTAAGTGAAACCTTAAACATTACAGACTGTGGAAACTTCAACCTGGATTCTGATCCTCTACGCTATTTTTAGCAAGATATAAAATACTAACGAAAGCCTTGAGGTCCTGTAACTGTCAGAGCATCAGCACCAACCAATATAGACTGTCCCCACCAAATCATATACAGTAGATAGGTATAAAAACTTTATTGTCTACCATACACAATAATGGCAGAAATTTGCCTTTGGTTTGCTCTCAAACAACAATCTAATAAAATACATTAAAATCCAATTATAAGAGTTAATTGCAGACACATCAGCTGCAGGAGATTCACCGCATCTAGGGAGAGGAAGCAGAATAGACCAAGTGGTATTCACAACTTATTCAGCTCCTTGATGGCAGAGAGCACAATTTTTCTTGGCAAAATGAAGTATATGTCTCTGCTTTGATGGAAGGAGCTCAAAGTGACGGAAGAATGGATGGCTAGCGTCATCTGTGATCTTATGACTGACCCTATGCACATCACAAAGTTATAAGTTTGCTCTGCTGTGCAGTTTAGAATCCAGCTCCGGCTTCCAATGTCAATGTGTCTTTGAACAACTTCACCCTTGTTTAGTAGAAAGTGTTTAGGTCTCGTGACTTTGAAAAAACTCTGGACTTTGGCTTTAACTAACTCGGTAAGCTATTATGATTTCAATGTATTCCTATGTTCTGTTTATTGTGCTTATATCTGTGAATCTGTTGCAGTTTTTTTTTTCTGATTACAAAGATGTTACAGAATTTTTTTTTATTTCCTTGTAAATTCTCACTAGAATGAATTGTAAAAAATGATTTTGTATCTTGTAATATTAAAAATATCATTACATTTGTAATTGTTTTTTAACAGTTTTGACTCCTTCCATGATGTCATATAAAAAAATTCTAACACACAATCTTGTAGTGGTCTTGTCTCACTTACAATGTCGGGGGAGTGTTTTCTAAAATATCCTAGATTGTAAAGAATTACAGGTACATATGGGGATATTCCACTGGTCCCCATAAGGTAAATATTTCTTGTTTGGGTTGAGTTTAGGTTTAGGACTAAGGTGTGAATTTTGTTTGCTGTAGTGTTGGGTATACCTTAGGGTTAGGCCCTATAAAATGAATGTAAGTCAATGAAATGTCCCCATATATCATAAAAAAAAAGGTTCAAGTTGTGTTTTCTCTTGTTTCCTTACCCTGTGGAGCCCATTTTCTGGGAAAGTAGCACATTGTGGGGACCAACTACTCATTTTGGGGCCCGATGCCTGGACCTCAAGAGCGGAATGGTTGTTTTTGGGTCAGAGGAGGGGTGACCTTTAGGACTAAGGTGTGAATTGAGATTAGGTAAGGCTTCATTTTCTACTCACCCCCATGCTGAACAACACTCTGGAGTACTTTTTTGATATCTCAAATGCATCTGGAGATCTGGGAGGCTTCTTGCTGTCTGCTGACATTCAAATAATGGAGGTCTATGGCGCCCGAGGCAGAAAGGTCCATAAAAGCTTTTCTTTTTATCTAGATTGCAGATATCTTGAACTGTAATTATGGATTTTTTAGCTCTAACATGACCAATCTGGTGACGTAATTTTTGATACTTTGAAAGGCTCTGTTGTTGCATAGATCTTCACTGATTATTTCATAGAGTCAGAATCAATTTATTATTATAAAAACCCTTTTTAGATTTCTAGAATGTAAATACAGATTGTGGGACTAAGCTGATTGTATGATAAGTCGACCTACCATACTCCTTTATTTGCTGAGGGCTGGCTGCCATCAGTGGATCAAAGGTGCAGACTCTTCATTGGACCTGTTAGAGAAAGTATGGAAGGCAGCAGAGGAAACATCATTGTTTATGTCTGGTGAAGGTAAGTTTGCTGGACTTGTTTATTGATTACATTAAGTTTATATTAACATGCATTATGGCCATACTGGGACTTCTCTTTTTATTGAAAGAATAAAGTCACAATTTTTAGCATAATAAAGCTTTTATAACATAAGATTTCAATTGTAACACAATGAGAAAAAATGTTTTTCAATAAGTGGAAAATGTTTTATTAAAGTAACGATCAGCTCAACACTGCAGCCTCAGCCTGAGGACAGCAGTGGAGGGAAGTCTAAATTATGACTTAAATCTTACAATGTAAAAACATGATAGTCTGTCCTAATGTCGGGAACAGCTACAGTCTCTAAATTGCTTCCTGGATTTGAGTCACACTTTACTTTCATTCTTTCTTATGCCTGTTAAGTTTCAAGCAAATATGTAAAGAAGTAAATTGTCGGCTGCCCTTAAAAATCTGTGCTTTTAACTAAGGAAGTTTAAGGACAGACCATAAAGGTTTCATTTGGTTTGCAGCCTGGTTTTGTAACAATTATGGATTATTGTTAAATAGAAAGCGGTGTCAAGTTTCAAAGACTTTGTTTGCAAATAATGGTTTCGTTTTCTCTCTCTGACTGTCAGTAACTGTGGAGGAAGTATTTTTCCTGACTCAGACTGCGGTTGCTGACATGTTTTGTATCAGATGATTAGTCTTCATGAAAAATAAATCAATAAATCTTTATTCTATCAGGTAAATTAGGAAGGATTAAAGGAAAAGTCCGTTCATATTCAGAATTCAAAGTTCTTAAAGTACTTTAAACTGAAATTATTCCATCCTGTTCAATAAATGATTCATGTTTTTAATGTAGAGTAATTTTCATGTGAATGTGCTTTACTGGAGGCATCCATGTTTGTCAAAGAACACTACCGCCACCTACTGGTTTGTGACGTCACGGTGCGGTATCGGCTGTTGATCAAGTCCCAGTGCTGTACGCGCTATTATCCAAGTCATCTTGAAAACATTGTTCTTCCAAATGTTGGCTACATATTACGTGTTTTTTCTCTGGAGGATCAGGAATCAGAAAGGTGAAATAACTCTTATTTTCACTTTTACCCGATGTATTCCAGCATCCAGCTGCCATGCACGTGGGCATTGTCAGTTTCACTATAGCTCTGGTGAATTTCAATGGTGAAGTCCTCTGGAAATCTTCAATAATTGTTGTTGATTGCAGATGTGTCTAGTAGTTCCCATTGATTTTGCTTGTAAAGCGGGGAGAATGGCGCTAGGCTTACCGCACCATGACGTCACTGCTGGAAGATGGCAGGAGGGAGGGGTTACTATATTTTCTTGTCTGTTTCTCAGAGATGTAAGAAAATTTATACATGAATTTACCACCTTAACCGTGTAGTTTACCTGCTGTAATTCTCTAAATTTAAATAGTCTTTATATTGAATAGTTGAACAGAAACACAACAAAATTGGACACAGTTCCCTCCTGAGAGCAAATATGTCAAATAACATTTAATACCTGCATAAGGGATGCATTTCTTTTTTAATAGATCAGAAATGTTGTGATTAAGTAAAATAAATGTATTAATAAATAAAATTAAAGCATCATAAACACATTAAGAAACAGACAAAACCATAAACAGACATATTGGGATATATTCTTATATATTTATTCAGAAAACTTCATTATAGGTTGCTCTGTATGAGTTGTGGTTTATGGTGTTTGATACTTTAAATGTCTATTTAATCTTGTTTTATATTAATGATTATTGTTTATTAGAGGAAGTGAGCTTAAAGTAACGAGCCTCTGTTCGTCGTACGGATGTTCTCAGTCAGTGCTGTACAGATCGCTCTCATTTAAAGATGATTTATCAAACAGCAGAAGTTTCTTTTTCACACTCTGGATCCTTTTTTATTAAAATCTTTTTTTCTCCATGAAGCGACGCCTGATATCCAACTGGAGGGCTAACTTGATCCAGCATCCATTCCCCTTTAGGATAATAATTCTGCTTCATTCTTGGCCTGCAGAATGTATCCTGAATTTATAGCTATGCAATATTAATTTATACACAATACCTACAGTATATAGTAAAGAGCTGCTTGTCTGTCATAAAATGATTTTAATTAAATCAGAGGTAATAATCTCCAGGTTCTTTATTAACTTATTTGATGATTTGTTGTTTAATGCACCAGAAGAGCATCGGAATATTATTACAAAGTGATTGAGAAAGTTTAGTTAAATGTTTAATTTCTGGAACAGCAGATTTAGTCAGATGCTACTTTTATATATCTGAGTAAATGAAGCAGAGATTCCATCATCCCTTCATCATTCATTAATAATAACATGTTTTCCTGTAATCATGCAGCCTGTTTTCCTTCAGGCTGGTCATAAACTGTAGGTTTGTTTTCTTTTTTTTTTTTTTTTCAGATGTTGACTTCCTGCTTTAGGTGTCCTAGCTCCGTTTGTTCTACGTCTCTTTAAAACAATTTGTCCAGATCCGTTGGGAGAAAAGGTCTCCTGTCGTTGAGAATGATGTGGAGAAGAACAGCTTGGATAACAACATCAATATTGCTGGTAAATGTATTTATAGCTGAATGGTGGATGTGCCGTACGGCTGTGATTCCTATGAAATGATCAACTGGTCAATAAAGGAACCAAACTCAGGCTGTCTGTGAAACAGACTGAGGGTTTGTTATTTAAAGCTTCTTGTTTAGGCTAAAATGTCCTGCTCCTTATTTGGGAAAACATTTTCTCTGTGTGCAAAATGAATATTAAAAACATAAAGGGAAAGGGTTTGTCTATGGTCTTCTACTACCAGGAGAAATGAATTATATTTACTTATGTTGCTGTAATTCAATGCATTCTTTGTTTTTGGTTTCATTTTACTCAAAAAGTAGTTTTTAAAGTGTAGAGCTTGGGTTTAGTAGGTTTTATGTTCCAAGTGCTTTATTCAGTTACCCTTTAGTTCTCCTCCACTGGTTAGAGGAATGCCGATAAAGCAGGGGAAATCTCCCTCGGTGATAAAGAGAGCAAAGGTCAAAGTGTGTCTCTCTCTGAAGGAGAAACACAGCCTGTTGGTTCATGATCTCTCTGTTACCCAGAGATACGCCTCCATCAGGTGCTTTGCTACAACATTAAACTAAACAGGTGAATCTGTTCTAATAAATAGGAGTAATGGAGACCTGAGAGTTTTTCCAGCTTAAAGTCAGTGACATCACATTCCAACATAAAGCTAACTGCACTAACAGTGTTTCACTGTAAATCATTAAAATTTCTACATCACTCAGTGGTTCCAACTCTGTTCTGTTAATGCTAATGAGGTGATTTATTTGAATCAGACAGGTTGGGCAAAGGTCACAGGAAAGCAGCGCTGAGGTTTGAGATCACTGCATGTAAAGACATTTAGAAACCTGAAGCAGGGGAGCGGCTGTTTGAAGACGAACGTTTTATAATGCAGCAAAAATCAAAATGACACTCAGACATGAGCTGATTCGCTAATTTCGTTTTATTGATGCTTGCTGATGTCATCTAAACTGACCATTTTCCATCAACTTGACATGAAACCATGTGGCGGTAAAACACGTCAGAGTCTCATTAAAAGACAGTTTCTGTAGTTTTCTAAGATTTTAGAGAAAATTATTAGACTGCGACCCCTAGGGAGTCCACGGAGGTTCTGCATGTTAGTCAAGAAAGTTTTGGGTGATTTTTTTTTTATATCCGCCCCTGCAATTCTTTCCACTAACTGAAATGTCTTTAAATCCACATTAACATGAATTCAACAGACTGTAGTAAACAGATAAATGGAGGCAGGAGGTTTCTTTCAGTCATCAATGCTCACATTCAGAGACACACAGGAGCTCTTTCAAGCTGGGCACCGTTTCATTCACAACACCTGTCCCATCAACCAGGAATCAGATATACTTTAATAATCCCAGGGAGGGATTACTTTCATTATATTACTCCATCTGTAATAGAGTGACTATAGGACCAGTTTGATAGAACAGAATTTCATACATTATATATAATTAGGGGGTCCCCGCTTAATCTCCCCATCAGTCTGGGGGTCCTTGGCCTGGAAAACTTTGAAGACCTCCTGTATTAGAGGGCTGCACGGTGGTGCAGTTGTTGGCACTGTTACCATGCAGGAAAAAGGTTCTGGGTTTCATTCTCTGCCCAGAGTTTTTCTGCATAGACTTGGCATGTTCTCCCCGTGCATGTGTGGGTTCTCTCCCACAGTCCGAAAACATGACTGTTGGGTTCTCTGGCTTCTCTAAAATATCCTTATCCGTGAGTGTGTGTGTGTGAGGTTTTGTGTCCCTGTCTGATCCTGCGACAGACTGACGACTTGTTCAGGGTGTACTACACCTCTTGCCCATTGACTGCTGGAGATAGACACCAGACCCACCGTAACTCTGACACGGACACAGGAGAAGAAATGGATGGATGTTTATTATTACATCCAACAAATTCATTAATAAACACAGTATATCAAGAAAAAGTTAATTTATTCCAATCACTCTACTGCAGCGGTTGCTCTGGACCAGAATGAATGAGGCTCAGGAGCCACTTGGTGAGTTTTTTCTATAGAATCCTGTAAGCTGATTAAACAGAAACAAGTGGAGAAACATGGAAATGAACTGAGGACCCAATGAATACTAGCAAATGACCTTAAGTAGAGGGAAAACTGTCACGGTCTTGATTCTGTAATGTTTTACTTTGCTCCATGTTTTCTAGTTTTATTGGTTTAATTCCTATTTTGTTGTATTTTCTGGATGTATTTATGTTCTAAGGTTTTTAGTTGTTTCCCTCTGTTGCGCTCTTGTGTTAGTCTCCTTTTCCCTAGTCTCCTTCCTTTGCTGCTCTGTTCACACCTGCTCCCAATCTGCTCCTTAGTCCTCTCTTTGTTCAGTCTCCCATAAATACACTCCTTGTGCAGTCCCCTCAGTGCTGGTTCCTCGTCTTACTTCACCTTACCTCGTCTCACCCTGGTTCCTCGTGATTGTTTTCCCCTGATGTCTCCATGGTTCCAGTTTGTTTTACATTTTTAATTTGGATTTTTGGATCCCTCCCTCTGTTACCTGTGTTTATTCATTAAAGAAACTGCAAGAACTCACCCCTGGCTCGCACTGGGATTTTCGGCCCTGGCATTTTTCCATCAACACTGGTCCACTTATGGACCACAGTCCATAAACAGTCAAACGTGTGCATCTTAAATTTGAAACACAATGAAAACACACATTGTGGATTAAGAAATGTATCTTCAAGCATTCAACGACAGCGCCACTCACCACATCACCAGGGTCACCAGATGTCGCTGACTAACCTTTTCCAGCCCAAAAAAATTTCATAAACCTCCTAGAAATATGAAATCTCGCCCAATTTGAACCAAAGTCTATTGATCTCTTAGGCCATAAATCTAAAGAAAAACATTATTTTACCCATAGACGGCCATCCTAAACTGCCAGATTGGGAAACATCCCAACCTGGCAACAATGCACGTAGGACTGCAACATTTTTTTGCTAAATATTCGCACATAAATTCGCCATATATAAGAGGAATATCATAATTTGGTTTAAAGAAAGCATTTTAGTTTTATCATAATTTAGTTTGTTGCGAGGATTTTACAGTTTAAAAAAAAATAGAAAATGACACCATACACCAACCGTCATAAGGATGAGCATGACAAGGAAGGGCTATATATACTGCATGCATCATTTAGGTAGTCAACATTGGATTACTTCTTGAGCTCCTTGAGTTATTTACCGTCACAGCTAGGAGCTTTGGCCGACAGTAAGTGTCGGGGCCGCTCTGATTTAAGGAGGGCTGGCCCTCGCACGCTGGAAGTAGGACTGGCCGGTATCACAGGTTACCAGTCCGAGCCTGGGAGTATGGCAAGACCAAAATATCAAAACTTTCACGTTAACTTTAATGTTTTAATGTAAAATAGGGAAAAACTCCTAACAGAAAAGATAAGTTTACAAAAACTAATATGAAAAGAGAGAAAACTAACATAGGTCGTTAAAAAAGACCCAAAAAGAGCAGTACAGCATGAAAGCAATATTAGAGTTGGTAGAATACATTTCAACAGCAAAGTTTAGTGAGTATATTTGTAGAAAGGATTCAGATACAATAGATCATTTCAAAATTTATATTGTCCTTCAAACTGATTTCTTCTCTCTTCACAGTTGATCCTAATGAGAGCCTCCAGAGTTCAAACCATCACATGTCATCAAGCAGAGTACAGCGTGGGGGACATCTGCTGTCCAATGTGTTCTCCTGGTACGTTCCACATCTTTGCTGTTCATAGTTTACTCTGTTGAATGACAAGCCTGTTTATACCTGAAAGATGCTCAACACACAAACCTCACAATAATTCAATGTTTTGTTTTTTCAGGGAATCGTGTTAAAACAGACTGCACAGAGCTCAGAACTACATCTTGTCAGCCTTGCTCAGCTGGAACTCATATAGACGTNCCAAATGGACTGAAGAGATGCTCGCCATGCTCCACCTGTGATAAAGGTGCAACCATGAGGCTAAAGGCTTCTAGTCTTTTTAAGATCTAAAGGCTGCTGTATTCTGGACCAGCAGACTCACTTTATTAATACGATCACCTACAGTCACACTGATTTCCTCTATGCTTCTTATATCTAAATGATATTAATCCTTTTCATCCAGCAGGAGGGAATGTTCTATCAGACTATTAGCATATTTTGCCCACCCCACTCAGTCAGCTTTAGGAGGTTTCTGTCTTTTCTGTGCCTCCCTAATAGTTGATATAAGGGGAGCATAGCGGGACTGAAATGTGACATTAACAGACTTCTGTTCACTGAGTGGCTTTGGGCGGAAGAAGGGGTTTGTCATAATGCTAGCTCTTGGACTCTTAAGTAGGCACACGCACAGAAAGAAGCAGATTTAAACAGTTTATTTTCAGGATAATGTGAAGACAACTGAGTCTGGAAAAAACTGAGGGAGCAGGGGCTGGGAGCAGGCACTGGAAGGGAAAACAAGTTGTTTAAAGGGGATGGATGGATTATGGAAGATTGTTTTAAGGAGTTTACATTGAGTAGGAGTCCATGAAGCCCGGTCTTGCTGGTTGGAAGTAGATGTTGGGGGTGGAGAGTGGGGACACTGGTCTTTCAGTTTGTTTGGAGATGAGGGTGGACAGGTTTGAGCCAGGGGTTCTGAAGGCCAAGTTGGTGAGCCTAAGGAAGGGGCAGAACGGAAGCCTTGGGGGAGGTAGATCCGACAGCGGTCTTTACCAAAAGGGATCCTGAAGCAGAGAAGGACAATAAGGTCTTAAACAGAGAAGATCCAACAGGAGGGAAAAAACACAATACTGAAATTTCTCTTAAGATGACTTGTTACCACTCTGAGTACAACAACCATCTGCCGTCTGCTTGAGGGAGACTGCTCCTTCTTAAAGGCCACCACTGATTGAGGGAATGGAACCCAGCTGGACTCAATATGCCTGCCACCCTGTGAGAGAAAAAAGGGAAAAGACATACAGCCACTCCACCCAGCTCTGGAAACCTGACAGGGTTTCTCTGAGGAGGTGAAGGGAAAAGTTGACGTTAAATTGTGGAGAGACAGCATTAATATTATTATCATTCAAATCTTTTTATTTGTTTTAAACATGTAAGAACAACAATTAAACAGAGCAAAAAATCTAAACAGGTGCTGACATCACATATTAGTAAGAAGGGAGGAGAGGGGAGGGATGAAGGGATGGAGAAGTGGAGAAGCTTCAGATGGAACATTACATCCTCCATTCATTCCTTATGAGACGGAGGAGCCGCTCTCTTCCAACTGAATAATATGAGACGTTTTGCANGCTCTCTTCCAACTGAATAATATGAGACGTTTTGCAAATATTGTAACAAATGCTGTGGCATTGGCCTGCTGTGTTGTTATTGGTTTAGTTGGAGGTACAACCCCGAATAAGGCAGTAAGAGCACTTTGTTCAATATTCCTCTAACATATAAATGTTATCACACTTAAAACTGACTCCCAAAATGTGAGACACAAGATGCGTCTACGTTAGGATACATTCTAGATAACTTATTAGGGGACAAGCACAATCTGTGCAGCACCTTAAACTGTAGCAGGCTATGTCTAATGCAAATTGAATATGAGTGGATTCTTGACATTGCGTCCTGCCAGGCTGCCTCAGTAAATTAGGTTAGATTAAATGAGCTTTATTGATTTCACAGTGGAGAAATTCACTGGTCTCATATTGGCATAGTACTTAAAGGAGGTGCAAACAAGGAGGAAAAAGGTGCATTAAGAATAAACAATATATATACAGTATATCAAGATAAATAAGGATTAAGGTGCAAGTGTACATGTATCACACACAATGAAAAACAAAATAAAAATAAGAAATAAAAAATACAAGGTAGTAGCACAGAGATTTGAGGTGAATTATGTACAATCAGGATGGATTATATACAGGTGGATTTACTTTTACGTTAAAGTGTAGTAGGTAAGGAGCAACGGTGAGGTAGTGGTATGACTATTATATCCACATATATTGCACAGTCAGAATATTGCACAGTCAATAAATAAAAAACTCTAATATAGTTGCACAGTGGTTGTTACAGGAGATTGTGGTTATAGTGCATTATTATAGAGTCTGGTTGCAGCGGGAATGAATGATCTGCGGTAGCGCTCCTTCTTACAGACAGGGTGCCTAAGTTACCTTAACTCTTTATACCATATTTTTTTTCAGATGTCTAAGTGATTGGGAGGCAACATTAAAGGAATAGTACACCCAAAACATGATTAGCCTTCATTTTCTACTCACCCCCATGCTGAACAACACTCTGGAGTACTTTTTTGA